TCCAAGCAATTGAGCTATTGTCCAAGTTGCATTTCCATTTATGGCACAAAGTTAACAATGCCATTCTTGTAAAGCAAGCTTTTTGCATAAAGTTCACATTGAGCCTCTAACTTGCTCCCTCTGATCACACTCTATCCACAAAGTCAGAAGCAAGCTTGTTTAAAGCATAACCACTCTATCTTAGCAAGTACACAAGGCATGGAAATTTGTTTTGTCAGAAAATCACATGTTTAACTTAAAAATGTAAATTTTAATTCTGATCAACTAGAGCATTCCAAACTTGTTGCTTATAAATAGAGTCACTATTTGTGAGCTAGGACACAAGCTTGAACACCCTAAAACACACCAAAACTCTCTCAAATAATAAATTTCCCAAAAACTCCATTGTTGCACAGTTTCTGACCTTGAACATCAAACTCACATTTCCCTCATGCGTTTCTTGGCCCTTTTGTTTCAAAAGCATCCTCATATCAAATACAAACCATCCATGTCCCTATTTGCAAACTGTAACGTCATCTTCCTCATATTCCATAGCCAAAAATAGAGCATTGCAGTTGGACTTCTCCAGGCCATTTCAGCCACCCTCAACTCAAGCTAAGCATTGCATTATCTTCCTAGAGGTCCAAGGAAGCTAACCTGATCATCACCACTGCCTGAAACGAGTTCAAACTCCAAACACGATTTCCAGTTTTGAGGTAAGTTTTCTCAACTTGGAACTTTTCATACAGGCATCATCAATAGTTTATTTGTGAATAAAACATGTAGATATCATTGCCCTGAACCTAACCATGTCCTTAGTTTCCATTAATTTTGCTTGAGCTTAGAGAATTTTGAAACTGAAATCTCTGAAATTTTTAGGGTTCAGATTAGGGCCATTAAAATTCTTGCTTATCCTTGATCTATAGTTTTAATACTTTACATTTCTGGAATCGTGAGAAAGTTTTCTACAAGTTTCATGTTTACAATTTTCATTTTTGATGAGAAATAAGCAAGTTACAGTTGGTCTGGCTGGAGGTTGAAGATGAAGTCTTCAGAACACGTTTTGCCTTACATATTTATTGTTTCATTTGTATTAACGGATGTATAGGCACCCCAGTGGTAGAAACGCGTGCCTGTAACCTTTGGGGCCTGGGTTTGAGCCCCAGTGGTACCCTTTTCATTTTTAATATTTTTACAATTTTGACTTTTTTTGTTTGCAGGGCGCTGAGCCTCTTTGGGCCTGGCTTATTTTTTTGCTAACTGACCTCCCTATTTCCTCTTGGCACCCCCTGGCTCAAGTTTTTATTATTTATTTATTTATTTCATTTTTCTTTTCTTAAATATATTTTTCTAAATACTAAAAATCATAAAATACAAAAAAATAATATATTTATATTTTGACTTATTTTATTTTATTTTTCCACAAAAAAATATTTTTATACTTTATTTCTTTTATTAAGTAAATCTTATAAACTTAATTAATATCATGTTTTTATTTATTTATTTTTCCCACCATTTAAAAATATATTATTTTAATATAAAAAGGACTAAAAATATTTTATAATACTTTAAATATTTTTAAGATGAAAATACTAAAACATTTTTCTTAAACTTATTTCCTTTTAATCAATTAAATAGAATTAGGGTTTTATTCAAAAAAAATATTTTCTTAATAAATTCCAACCTAATTAATTATTTTCTTTATTTAATTAGGTTAAGACAAAATCTTTTTCATGAAAACCAAACAAAATTCATTTTCTTTACATTTTTTGCATCCTTGTACATTTATTCATTTTATTACTTTGTATTTATTTTATTTCTTGTATATTCATACCAATTCAATATGGTTGTAATAGACTAATTAGGTTTAAATTCTTGCAATCCCCATTTATAATTTGTACACCCCCCCCACAAATGTTGTATTAGCGTAGTAACTTTAAATTCCGCAATTTATCGCTTTTATACATAATATACTAGTAATTAGGGTTTGTATGGAAAGACTAAAAATGATATCTAGAAAACCCTAATTCAAGACAAAAACAAGCATGAAAATAATACACTTGCACACAAGCACCCCTAGGGTTATTCCACTTGGTTTCCTTATACAAAATGGCCATATTACGCATGTAAGGTATCTTAGCAAAAACAAGATCATAGTCCCTCGATGATGCTATCTAAGTTGCCTTACAAATGATCTTAGTCCCTAAAAAAGAATGCTAAGATACCTTGCAACATTGCTAATCATGGTTATACGATGACCCACACCCGTCCTGTTTACATCCAAAGATAGGGTTGCTTACCAAATCAATGGTAAGACAGCAATGTCAAAGGAAAAGGAAATGAACAAGAAAGACATTTGAGTAGGTAGATTGCTGCTAATTACTTGCTCCATTTCAAAACAAACATCCTTGCTATTTTCAAAAACAAACACTTACACTTTCAAAACATCTTACAAAACATGAAAACATTTTCAAAAGATCAACATCTTTGTATACATTCTTACGAACGACAATCATTACAAAGAATGCCTAACCAATGGCCTCTTTACAAAATACTTTCAAAAAACCACACAAAGCACAATTTCAAACAAAAGCAAGTGATCTAGCAAGTAACTAAGAGCCCATGGATAACCATGGATGAAAAGGGTGCTAATACCTTCCCTTTTCATAATCTACCCCCCGAACTCAAGAAGTAATCTCAAAGGTCTTTCATGTGCTTTTTCACCTTTCCTTTTGGATAAAAGAAAAGTCAGTGGCGACTCTTGCTAACCGCAACATTTGCGATAAAACGCAAAACCCTCAAGTCAGTTCTCCCACCGTATCACAAGTATCAACCAACTTCAGACTGCACCAAAGTCGATTATATCACTACTTCCTAATGGCCAAGTTGTTCAATTCAAGGTTCTAAGGTCAGTTAGTGCTTCATGACACCACACAACAGCCTCGTATTATCCTTGACTAAACTCAAGGGCTACCTGTACCAACAAATGTGTCACACTAACGTAGCCATCACTTCAACCATGTCGGTATACCCTGTACAGTTTCCATAATCTATTGCCACTTACCTAACGATGTTCTCCAATCCGGATAGAGGATCAAAACAAACCCAAACAAAGACCCAAAATGTAAAGCAAACAAATCATATAATAAAAGTAATAAAATGTGATCTAGCTCTAAGGTAACCCCACTTTTTTTAAAGTTGTCCCCAGCAGAGTTGCCAGTTCTGTAATATGGTGAGAGAACTGACTTGGGTGTTTTGCATTTTATCACAATTGTTGCTGATAGCAAGAGTCGCCGCCAAATTTTCTTTTATCCAATAAAGGAATGGGTGAAAAGAACATGAAAGACCTTTGAGATATTTTCTTGAGTTCTGGGGGTAGGTTATAAAAAAGGAAGGTGTTATCACCCTTTTCATCTGTAGTTATCTACGGGCTCTTAGTTGCTTACTAGATCTTTTGAAAGTTGCTTTGTTTGAAAATGTGCTTTGTGGTGTAAGTTTGAAAATATTTTGAAAACGCCTTTGTTTTGGTAAACTTTGTAATGATTCTCGTCTCTCTAAGAATGTATACAAAGTGTTGGTTTTGAAAATAGTTCAAAGATATGTTTCTTGGAAATGTTTTGAAAGTGTAATTGTGTAAATGGTTTTAGTTTGTGAGCAAGAAACTACGAGCATCTTACCTACTCAAAAGGTCTTTGTTATTTTCCTACTCCTTTAGATGTTGCCATCTTACCATTGATTTGGTAAGAAGCCCTATCATTGGATGTGAAGGGACAGGAACGGGTCAATCGTACAATCATAGAAGGCAACTTATGATACGTTTTAGCAATTTTCATAAGGGGCTAAGATCGTTTTATCGAAGGAAACATCGAGGGACATCGAGAGACTACGATCTTTTTTATCAAAGGGTCGTTGCTAAAGCGTCCCACATTCGAGGGATATGATTGTTTTTTACGAAGCAACAAACGAGATTACCCTAGAGGTGCACGTGTGAAAAGTGTGTTTGATTCAAGTTAATTTGTCTTTGATTAGGTTTGTCTAACGATTGATTTTAAATATTGGCATAAACGCATAATTACTATACAGTATAAAGAAAAACAGTAAATTGCGAAAATTTAAAATTCTACGCTATTACAGAACTTTCGGGAATGGGGAGTACAAACTTACTAATGGGGATGGATCAATGCGATTAAAAGTCCAAATAGGAAATCAATACAACTAAATCGAATCGAACAATTAATTAAAATTACAACAATCTATGAAGTAAAAATTAATTAACAAAGTATGGGAATAAAAATTCTTAGTATTTTTGTTTGTGAGGAATTTGGAAAGAAAATAAAGAAACTATTCTACTATTCTTATTTGAATTTTATTATGTATAAACTAAATATTTTAAAAGTAAGTTTATTAGACTATATATAAAAAAATGTTGATAAAATTATTTACAAAGTCTAAACTAACTAATTATTCAAAATTATATATTTTCATTTAATTGAATTTTAAGAGTAAAAACTAAAACTAATTTTATTATCAAATATCTAAAAGAAATCAAGAAAAACAGAAAAAAGACCCTAGTAGGGGTTGAACTCGGATACCCTTGGTTGTTAGTAGTATGTTTTGCCAATTGTACTAGATTACTATATGTTTATTAATATGATTCTATTAATATAAAAGGGAAAATCAATAATTGGATTGGGCTGAAGGGCCCAAAAGGCCCACCCGGTTAGAAGAAAGAAATAAGGAAAGTTGTAACCCTAAAGCTAAGGAAAATGAACTGCTGCAGTTTGTGTTATGGGGAATGCAAATGGATTAAATATTGTTATTACTGGGAAAGGAAAAGAAGCAGATCATCATTGTTAACATGGGGAAGGAAAATGCATGTTTAACATTATCAATACTTTATTCTGATCTTACTATAAAACAAAAACAAACAAAAATATCTTTCTAAAACAAACTTAATCTTCCTCTGAATTTGAAATGACCTTTGAGAAATAAATGTAACACAAGCTATTCAACCATTTCGCATGGAGAAGGTCCGGAGAAGGATGGCCCGCGGTCGGGAGGAAGGTCCGACGAAGGGTGGCCTACGACTGGGAGGATCGGTGGCGGTCAGACGAAGGGCGTGGAGAAACTGTGCCAAGATCGCAGTGGTGACAATGGTTGTTTGGCTATGGAGGCGAGGAAACAAGGAAATGATTTTGGGTTTTAGATTGAATACACACAATACAACATACCAAGTATGCCGTTTTCTCTATTCTGGAGGAAAATTCAAAACAAAATTAAAGAAGGAAAACCTGGACGGTTTTGTCGTTGTTTATGATGGCCGGTGAGAAACTTCGGTTCAAGCTCTAGAAAGTTGGTTGATAACAGTGCGGATCCGATTTGTTTCTGGTACCAGACAATAAGGGTGAAGCTGTTGGAGGTGGTTCTCGACGTGTTCGCAAACTGCTTTTATCAGTGAAGTCAGTGTTTCCGTAAGTCGTCTTCTTCTTTTTTGCCTAATTTGTTACGGATTCGTTGTTATGTTGTTGGCGAAGCATGTGTTATGATGAGTATGGTGGTGAAGTATGTGAGGGATGCAATGGTGAGAAATATAGTCGTTGTTGCCATTTGGTTTTTCTGGTTAGGAAGAAGAAATAATGATATGAGTGAGTGAGTCTTTTGTTTTGTGGGTGGGTGGGAGGATTATGGGATTGGTGTTTTTATTTGTTTGTGGTCTAGTAGCTAGTTGTGGTTTAGAGGAGCATTTGCTGTTTTGGTTTGCAACAAACATGTTCCCGTTGAGTGATAGGATGAGGTAAATTGGCAATGTGGTTGAACAAATATATAATTCTCTAATTTTGTAGTTTCTATTTTTTTAATTCTGGTTTTTCTTGTGTTTATTACTAATCTAACATTTTCTAAATGTTAACATGCTGCAGCAACTCTAAAAAAAATACAGGAAGGTAATAAGTCAAACGATCATATGGCGTAGAAGTGATGCAAAGAAGATTCAAATATGTGAATGAGAAAATTATGCAGAAATAAATAGGTAGAAAGAAAAAATACCTATGGGAGTCTCTCTGATGGAGCTTCAAACAATAAGTTTTTTAATTTTCTTTCTTTTCCTCTTGCTATTAAAATTTGAAAAAGATTCTCTTTTTCTGTTTATTCTTTGCTGAACCTTTTGAATTTTGTGTTGTCTTGCTGGATTTTCTTCCTCTCCCCTGTTTTTTTTGTATATCTTTTCTATCCATCAAGAGGGCTTTTATAGAGAAATAACAAAAAATTTAGGGGGGGAAACAGTAGAGTTTTTGAACTGTTTTGGAAAACTGTTTTGATGCTTTGTTCATGCAATTTTCTTTAGCCATTCTAATGCAATTTTGTGGCTGTTTTGATGCAGATTTTTGCAGGCTGTACATTGCAGATTTTTGGCAGCATGTGGACTGATTTTTATAACATTTTTGGAACGATTATGGTTTTCTGTTTTTTCTGACTGTTTTGTAGCATGATCACAACATTTTTGGGGCTTTGTGATACGGTGGCAGAACTGACTGTTTAATACTGGTTTTGTGTTTGTGTTCGCAAATTTTGCGGTAAGCAAGAGTCACCACCGACTTTTCTTTTATCCAACAAAGGAAAGGGTGAAAAGAACAGAAAAAGACCTTTCGAGAGTTTTTTGAGTAAGGGGGGTAGATTATGGAAAGGGAAGGTGTTAACACCCTTTCGATCCATAGTTATCTACGGGCTCTTAGAGGTTTGTTCATTTTGAAATAACTTTGTGCTTTGTGTTTGAAAATATTTGGAAAATCCCTTAGTGCGGCGATTTGCTTTGCGTTTAACTCTTGTATCAGTCCTCAAGAGTGTTAACAAAGCAAATGTTTTGAAAATTCCTTTTGAAAAATAGTATTTGTGTAAGTGCTAAATGTTTTTGAGCAAACTTCTAACAACTATCTACTTTTATACTTAAAAAAGGGTCGTTCTTTTCCTCATATCCTTTATACAGCGCTATCCTACTATTAGTGAGTAGGTTGATCTTATCGTTGGATGTATGAGGGACATTCAAAGGGACGCTACAGTCACGAAGGCAATTGTGGAGACGCTTTAGCAATTTTGTTTAGGGACTAGATCATTTACCGAAAGACAATTGTACGGTCATCGAGGGACTATGATCTTTTGATTTATGGTTCTTTGCTAAAGCGTTCCTGCCTCATGACTGTTTTATTTCTGAAGGAAACCAAAGTGGGGTACCCTAGAGGTGTATATGTGTAAGTGTGTTATGTTCAATTATTTTTGTCTTTTTGTTAAGTTTTCTAGCGTTTGATTATTAGTCTTATCATGCAATCCTAGTTACTAGCAGTTAATACAGAAATGTAAAGTACTGAAATGTAAAGTGCGGGAATTTAAATCCTACGCTATTACATGGCTTTGTGAGAGGTACATCATAAAAAGCGAGAAATAAAGTCCTAGTTACTATTACAAAATTAACTTATCAAATTAGTTTAATAAAAAAATTAAAATTAATATTTTTGTGATTTTTGATTTAAAGTTAATTCAAATGATAAAATAATGAAATAACCAAAAAAATGAACAAAAATATAACAGGGGCATCCTTCGATCCAGGGAGAGCCATGGCCTTTCGATTCAGGGAAGAATGGTTTGTTTCGATGGAAGGAAATGGTTCCTTTTAATCTAGGAGGGGTTAGCTGTCCTTCAATCCAGTGAAAATAGCTACCCTTCGATCTAAAGAAAGGTGCTACCCTTTGATCCAGCGAGGGATATGGCTTTCGACCCAGAGGACATTGTCAAAAATGCCTGATGGATCATTTGTGAAAGTACTGTATCTGCAAAGATATGTTAGCAAAACAAAAAGCATGACCTGGGGCCAAGCCCAGATCCTTCAATTCTATGTGCACTGGCCTTATTTATGCTAGATCTGCAACAAGTGTTAGGGGCAAAACAAATGCATACCTTGGGTCGAACCCAAATCTTTTAGTCTTGAATAAAAAATCGAATGGAACTACAAGTATTGATGTGTCATGCAAAGGTAGAGTTTGATCTTTTTACCAATTCTTACCAATGGTTGATGGACGAATCTTTGAATTTAGGCGTGGGTACCTTCGTTTAAGGGTTGCTTTGATTTGGATCACTTATGAGATTTTTTTGTGATAACTTTGGTGGGTTTATGGGGCAGCATATCTCCAATGTGTGTGTAACTATCCATTTGGCTTGTAAGCATGCTGCTTATATAGAGTAGAAGGGAGTGGACAAGAAGACAATAGTTTAAACAACCATAAAAAATGTTTTCAAAGCCATGAATGAAGTTTTGTAACATTGCAAAAGTCATGGAAACTTATCCCTTTTTGAATTTGAATGAACCTGGACATGCTTCCCCCTTTCGAACGCCTTCAATCCCTACCCTTCGATTGGCCTCAAGTTGCCTCCTTCAATTGGCTCTTTTGAATGGACTTTCTATGTACGCTTTGTTCCCTCTCCGAATGGGCCACCAAGGTGTTTCCTCCGAATGGGCCTCTGCATGCTTCTTCGAATGTACCTCTTGTGCACCCTTCGACTGGCTCATGTTCTCATCATTGGGACTTCTTTGTTTGAACCCCTATTTAGCTAGCCCAAACGAAAACTCTTTCATGGCCAATGAATGTGCTTGTGCACGTTGGCCTAAAATTGGAAGTATGTTGGCTTTTGGACCAGCAGGCCTCTTTAAATATTTTTTAATTTTGACCAACTAGATCCATCCTTCGACCAAACCCCCTTTTTAGACAACAATATGTGTTTCCCATCAAAGTGTCCTTCGAATGGGCCCATTGTGTATTCTTCGTTTTGAACCAAATATATATATCTTTTGAAGGGTTCACATGCATGCTTTGTGCCTTCTTCGACTGACTCTCCAATGTGTGTCCTTAGATTGGACCTTTCAAAATCTCTTTCAAAGGGGCCATATTGTGCTATAGTGTAGAAACTGAGCTGATCTTGGCCTTGTGCATTGAAGCCAAGCAAAAACGAATTCTTTGCATTAGTGAATCCAAGGCAGGCGTGAAGGGGCTTTTGTCCTAATGAACCACAACACGCTTGTAGGGGGTTCTTGCCTTGTGCATTAAAGGCAAGTCGAGAGAAGCCTTTTGCCTTGTGCGCTGAAGGCAGGCTGAAGAGGGATTATTTTCCTAGTCGAAGCAGGAATTAAGCATGCTCTAAAGAAAACAAAATGCCCAATCGAAGCAGAAATTAAACTTGCTCCAAAGAGACCAAATGCCCAAACGAAGAAGGAATCCAGCTTGCTTGCAGGTAGCTGTTGTACCCCAAAATTTTCCCTCCCATATTTCTCAAAACATCTTAAGAAAGATCCTCAAGTTGCTCAAAGAAGTCCAAGGGTTGACTAGACAAGCTCCCTCCTAAGGCAGTCTACCTCAAATTAGGGTTTCATGTTGCATCAAGATAATTGAGTCCAAGGGATCCCAAATGATCACCATTGTCCTAACATGTTCTCAAGAGCATCCATGTCAAGTTTCAAGCCCTATAGAGAAATTTGCTCAGTCAATTGCTCAAAAGCCTGAAAATCGACTATGCTAGGGCAAAAATCAATTGTGGCCTACATACAGTCAAACTTCAATATTTTTAGTCAACATCCTCATTTTGAATTATATTTCATCATTTGATGAAGGGTTGATCATGATTCATCAAGGATTGCTCACAATTCATCAAAACTCAAAAGTTGCTAAATTAGGGTTTTGTAGGAAAAGTCAACTCAACTTTGACCAAGCATAACTTTCGCATACTTTATGAGAAATAACCCATCCAAAGCTCATTTTTAAGATGATGCAATTACCTACAATTCATATTCATCTACCAAGTTTAAAATATTCACTCACAAGAAGTTATGAATTTGGACATTATAGGTCATTTTGAAAAGTCAACAAAAACACCTTTTTTGTCAAAGCTTCATTCATGAACATGGAATACCAAATTGAGATGAGATCAAAAGGGTTTCTTAGAGGACATCTCAGGCTTTCTAAAAAGTCCAATAACACATTGAAAGATTTAAAATTTAAGAAGTTATGCATTGGTCAAGTTGACCTTTTTTGCAAAATTGTCAAAAGTCAACTATGCCTCAAATTGCAATTTTTGCTAAATGGGCCTAACTTTTTGCACTTGTTTTGAGTTGGTAGCATGGTCCACGAGCCCTAGCCCTTTCCACTTGTCATTATCTTCTTTTTATTATTTATTTTGATTTTTATTTGAATTAAATCAATTTTAATCAAAACAAATCATGAGAAAATCCAAAACATTGTAATCTCAAGATTTTGTACATATTTCAGGTCCTATATCCAGCTAGCATAAGATTGAATTCGTGTAAAGCCTTGGTGTGCACAAAAAGATTGAATTTGGACTACTTTTGGAAGTATCTTCAAGTGAATCAAATCCAAATCCAAATCAATAATGGAGAAAGATTGAGATCATGTTTGCAACCCTAATTCAATCCTTGA